GGGTAGAGGATGGGGTCAGTTCTGGAGCCAAATCAAGCCCCTGTGGGGTGAAGGAGGCTCAGAGATGGGTGAGGGTGCAGGGGGAGATGGAGTGGCGGTTTACATCCCCAGGGCCGGAGTGTGCCATCCCCTTCCTCTCCCTGTACACTGGGGGGTATTGTGCAACTCCCAGATCCCAGCTCCTGAGCCCTCCACACCCCTCCCTAGTCCCCTCGGCCTCTCTGAGAACTCCCCAACATGCCCCAGACTCTGTACCGACTCTTGCCCTGGGTGCCAAACCCTGTCCTGCCCTGCAGGCGACTGGGAGCCCTGTGGAAGCCGTAAAGGATTTCCCCTTCTCCAGGGATCACATCTCTGGAGCTGGGCCAGATTGGGATCCCCGTTCACACCAGTACACACTGGGGGCTTCCTCCCCTTTTGAAGGGACTTTGATGAAAGAGGAGCTGTCTTGCTAGAGGGGATCCCTCTCCTGGGGCTGGGCTGTGTTTCCTCTGCAAGCAGCCTGCATGGTCCCAATCCAGACAGCATTTTGGTGGTGTTTGTACTGGGGCAGGAGGGTCCTGCCCCTCAGGGATCTAGAATACCCCAGCAGCCAGAGCGGGGCATCTCCAAAGTCCTCCCTCCCACTTGCCTCCTCGTGAGGCACTTCCTGATGCCTGATGCCATGTGCCCATGGAGCATAGTGGCCTGGGATCAGGAAATCCCATCCTTCTCCCCACAAAACCTCTCCAGATACAGCTGCCTTGGTCCCAACTAAGAGGAGGTGAGATGGGTTGGGGGCCTGATTCTGGCCAAGAGCATGAGAGCAGAAAGCCTGTTTTGGAGGGTAAATGAGACATCTTTGCCTCTATCCCCAACCCTTACCTCTGTTTCCCTAATTGTTCTCCCCCTTTCTGATTCTCTATTGTTTCTAATTAAGAGCTCGGCTTCAATAGGCCTTGAATGGTGATTCCTGGGGGTCCCTGGCTGGCAAAAAGCAAAGAGGGAACGCTTCCCCCCCTCCCCCGCCCCAGAAGTGACCTTATTAAGGAGTTTGATTTGCCCATTCCCACTTGTTATTACTGCTAATGATCTCAGTGAGGGGGAGCCCCCGAGCATTTCTTTACAACCACCTGCAACCCTCCACTCTTGGGGAACATTTTTAGGTTCCACTCCCTGGTGAGGTCCCCCCACCACTGTCTCTTATCCCTCTTGGGTTTGCCTGTGCATTCCTAACACCAGGTTTTTTCTCTCTGCCTCCCCGTCTCTCCACCTCAAGGTATGGTTTAAAAACCGCCGAGCCAAGTGCCGGCAGCAGCAGCAGCAGCAGCAGAACGGGGGCCAGAACAAGGTACGACCAGCTAAAAAGAAGAATTCACCAGCCCGGGAAGTGAGTTCAGAGAGTGGGACCAGCGGGCAGTTCACTCCCCCCTCCAGCACCTCAGTCCCCACCATTTCCAGCAGCAGTGCCCCCGTATCCATCTGGAGCCCAGCATCCATCTCCCCACTCTCAGATCCCCTGTCCACCTCTTCCTCCTGCATGCAGAGATCCTATCCCATGACCTACACCCAGGCATCAGGCTACAGCCAAGGATACGCTGGATCGACCTCCTATTTTGGAGGGATGGACTGTGGATCTTACTTGACCCCTATGCACCACCAGCTTCCCGGACCAGGGGCCACCCTGAGTCCCATGGGTGCCAACGCGGTCACCAGCCACCTCAACCAGTCTCCAGCCTCCCTCTCCACCCAGGGCTATGGAGCCTCCAGTTTGGGCTTTAACTCCACCACCGATTGCTTGGATTATAAAGACCAAACGGCCTCCTGGAAGTTAAACTTCAATGCTGACTGCTTGGATTATAAGGACCAGACATCGTCATGGAAGTTCCAGGTTTTGTGAAGAACCTTTGTGATACCGAGAGAAATCGCAACGAGAATGAACAGGCTGGGCTGAACGCTCCAGTTTTAGTCAGGTCTTGGTTAAATTAAAGAGAAAAATAACTCAACGGACAAACAAACGAACAAAAAAACCGACAGCAACAAGAGGGGGACAGTGTTGGTGTGATCCCGTTCAGACTCATCTCCTGCTCAGACGCTCTGGAAAAGGAATAATCAAGAGGAAAAATGGAGGAGGAAGGCCTTAAACGGACAGATCATCTAGTGAGCAGAAACCAGACAGACCCATCTGTGTTCTTTCTAGTTTTAGGCAATTGTTGGGTTTCTTTGTTTGGAAGAGGTGGGAGATGGTCCCACCTATGGGCCAGTTTTAAAAAAAAAAAAAAAAAAAAAAGAGTCTAGGTTTTTATTTCTTTTTTTGTGTGTGCGTGGAAAGATGATCCTTCACCCAGAGGTTTCCAATGTGTTAGCCAACCCTCGGTTAAAATATTCGGAATGGACAACATCTCTCTTTTTGTCCCTCTTTATCTCCCTCTTTCTTTCTCTCTCTCTCTCGAGCTCATCCAACTGTTTCATGCCCAACTTGCTCAAGTTGGCACCCGGAGAACTTGGTTCAGGGCTGTGTGGGTTGTGTGACTGATTGTCCTAGCTGCACTACTTTATTTAAAGATTAAGAAAAAAAAAGATAATGTTCATAAGGAGTCAATATGTAGTTTTTAAGAGACAATCAGTGTGTGTCTTATATAAATGGTACATCTGTGGTTTTTAATCTGTGCTAGACTTCAAAACTGTGATCTCCTGTATTGTATGCAACTATGAACTCTGCACCAGCAGGAGTTCTGCTGTGATTTAAATAGGTTATAATTATAAGTGAAATTCAGAGCAACTGAGTTACCTATTATCATCTTTTAAAAAATAATTAAAAATATATATTTAAAAA